CCATCTATACTATTCGCTCAATAGTACCCATTAATTAATGTCAAAATCACTGTATGAGTAAGTCGCCAATTCTTAAACATCACTGTATGAGTAAGTCGCCAATTCTTGAACTATGTATTCTTTCAAATGATTAACAAATATTTTAAGAAAAATTCCTAATCTACCCTTATTTTGTTTATTTGGAAAAAGAAATCACTAATCGAACTGATGTCAAAATATCTAACTCCATCTATACTCTCTGCTCAATAGTACCCATATTAATTAATGTCAAAATCACTGCATGAGTAAGTCGCCAATTCTTGAACTATGTATTCTTTCAAATTATTAACAAATATTTTAAGAAAAATTCCTAATCTACCCTTATTTTGTCCATTTGGAAAAGAAAAAAGAAAAATCACTAATCGAACTGATGTCAAAATATCTAACTCCATTTATACTCTCTGCTCAATAGTACCCATATTAATTAATGTCAAAATCACTGCATGAGCAAGTCGTCAATTCTTGAACTATGTATTTTTTTCAAATGATTAACAAATATTTTAAGAAAACTTCCTAATCTACCCTTATTTTGTCCATTTGGAAAAAGAAATCACTAATCGAATTGATGTCAAAATATCCAACTTCATCTATACTATTCGCTCAATAGTACCCATTAATTAATGTCAAAATCACTGCATGAGTAAGTAGTCAATTTTTGAACTATGTATTTTTTCAAACGATGAACAAATATTTTACGAAAAATTCCTAATCTACCCTTATTTTGTACATTTGGAAAAGGAAAAACGACTCCTCTCTAAAGTTTATAGATATGCTCGAAAACGTCATAATATTAACCATCCATTATTGAATATGAATGATTGAAATTGGATGGGTATCCCATCAATTATTTGGACGGACAAATGCCAGAACTAATTTTCGTGACACGAGTAGTAATGGGGCACAAAAATATCCATTGGACGTAACATTTAATGAACTGAAACGTGGCACAATGTACAGAGATTTGACGACGAAACTACGCGTGTCCACCTACACTTAGCTCTTGTTTGGTCCTTATTGTTTTTAAAATATATTTTTCTTTCTTATTTTCAATCACGTATTATTCAATAAAATAATATTATACATAAATTTATTTTTTTAAACCACATATTCTTCATCAAAATATTATTTTAAAATGTATTTTGGACATATCACCCGTTTCTTTCTCATTTTTCATCCATAAAAATGAAAATTATGACCATTATCCATTACATAAAGCCATCAATTTTGAATTTCTATCTCTTGTGTGGGGCTCAATAACGACTATATTTTTCATTCACATTCTATAATAACGAGAATCAAACGGGCCCACAGAACGAAACACGCTCTTACTATTTTCAAACAAAACAAAAAGCTGAATCAAATCCAATGGACCAATTCTAGCCCAATCGCATGTCTTATCAAGATCCCAATTACGTCACGCTGTCTTGCCACGTGGAAGATGGTAGCAATTTGGACGGCTGCCAATGCTGGTCTAGTTTGGTCAAGTAATCGACTTATTATTCCCATGAATCAAAATTAATTTAATATAAAATTTGTGATTTTTTTTCTGCATGTAATAATCCAACTCGAAACTTTCAGAGATCTTTCACTTTCAAATTCCCCCTATTGCAAGTTTAGGTGTTCAACAGTTTTTTACATATTTATTGAATGGGTTCAAAAAGTATACGTATAGCGTTGCAAGAAGAGAGCGTAATTACATATATTTTTTTCGGAAAGAACTCTTTTTAGTTTTGTACAAGTGTCTACGAGTGGGATTCTTGCTATCATGTTTGCGCAAATATAGGTGCCTAGTTAGAATTTATAGTTGAAGTGAGTATGATTAGCTCGACTGCTTATAAATTAAGTATAAATGTAAACAGTACATAAGAGTGAGTTAATCCCCATTAATAAAGTTGATCTTTTGACGGGGAACTTCAAAACATTGCATGTTATCAAAAACTCAACAAGTTAAAACGAGCAGTCATGTGTCAAGATTGATGATATTCTCAAACAAGCTCTTATATTTCATGAACATATTATGAATAAAATTTTCATATCTATTAATATATGAAAAAAATATACAAGGTATAAGACAATTGTACTACATTTGAGGATGACCGTCTTAAGGACTAGATTATTGTACACGTGTTAAGTGATTGATGGGGTGGTCCATTCGACACACTTAATGGATCTGGTCCCCCCCACTTTTTTCCGAGTTATGAAAATAAGTCTCCACGTATATCAATAAATACATTTTATTTATACTATATTTTCCCTTTATTTCTTCCTTTTTTCAAGACTGATTTTATGTATTTCGATTTAAAACAAGCTATCTGAATGCTTGTTATGTATCTTCTAGATTGCAATTATGTAGACTTATGATGATGATAATAAGGACACGGATACAAGAGTTCGAGGTTGTTTTTTCATCTATAACAGGTCTACATATCTACGAAGAAAGAAAATAAATGATTGAATTGTAAGTATGTATCCTGGATAAATTTTATTTTTAAATTCCTTTTTGTAGTAATTTTGAATCAATTTTAGTTTATCACTCCAAAAAATGAATTGTTTTTTTTTTTGATAAAAGTAAGTTAAGAGGTAATTTTCTTTTTTCTTAAAAACAATAATAATATGATGCTGTCTAAACAGAAATTAAGGAAAAAATTATAGTTTTATTTATAGCACGGGACATAAAGGTAAAATGAAAAATGTATATTTCTTTTTTTATTATGAAAAATGTAAATTTATTTAGAATTTAAAGACACCGGGCTTTAGCATTTACGGCTGCCTTTTTACCCCTTGTTTAAAGAGGAAATTACACCAAACCATACTATTAAAGATCCTAGTTCTAAAATCAGATGGAAGGTTTCATTGTTCATAAATCAGATGTTTTATTTTAATTAATATTTTAATTCAAAATTCATCATGGGCCTTTGATAATTATAAGTGAAAATTACACACAAGCCTACTTTTCAAGATCCATATAAAAAAATCAGATGGAAGGTTTCATTGTTCAAAAATTAAATATTTAATATTATAATACAAATTTCACCAAACTAATTAATTTCTCATTTCCTCTCTTTAACCCACCGTCCCTATCTCTCTCTCAACCTGTCCCATTTCCTCTTTCTAACCCATCGTTCCCATCTCTCTCTCTCTCAACATGTCGCCATCAGCAATCACATACTATGTTGTGGTGCTTGTGGCAGTGGGCGACGGTCAGCGGTGGTACTTGTGGCAGTGGGTGTCGGTGAGATGTTGGTGGTCGAATCTGAAAAGCCGATCTGCCAGAATCTATAATTTTTTTGTTTTTTATGCGATTTACTGTGCGGTGGTCGACGGTGGTTGTGACGGTCGACGGTGGTGGTCGTGGAAGTGGGTGATGGTGAGATGGTGGTGGTGGTGGTTCTGTCGATGTGGACGTGTCGAGATGGATCTGTTAGGACCGTGCGTTCGTGTTTTTCTGTTGATTTGTTTGAGGTGGTGGCGGCGGCGGTTGTTTGGTGGTGATTCATACCAAGATTGGTGGTGGATCGAAATCGGTGATGGGATGTTTGGTGTATGTGACCAGTTATTTGAACTAACCATGACCTTAAAATTCGACAATTTGTGACTAAAAATTAATCCATGATCAATAAATTTAAAAAAATGTGATTGGTAGAAATTTGTGACCTGTAATTTTTTAATTTGTGACCCATAAAATAATTTGTGACTTATAAAATTATTGATTTGTGATCTCGAAATAATCTGTGACCTACAAAATTTTTGATCTGTGACCGATAAACAAACTGTAACTTATAAATTTTTTGAACCGTGACCTTAAAATAATTGTGACGTATAAAAATAATGATTTGTGATTGAAAAATAATATGTGACTAATTAAATTGTGAATTTGTGACCTTATTGTATAAATATGTGACTTCAATATATTTAATTAATTAATTAAATCATAAATAAATTTTAATAAAAATTTGATTTTTGAAATTTGAAACATGTTTTCTTAGTTTTGAAATGGGCAATAGCTATCTTCTTACTTATGAAATGATGAGTTGGGTAAAGCCCAATATTTGAAAGAGTTAACTTGGCCCATGTGATTTGAAAGACGCGCACCCGGTTTTCCCTCCTTCAAACGATAGGTTCCACTGATTTCCGAAATCGGAATTACTCACGCTATACCACATACATTATTCTAATTTATTCAAGCTCTTAGCTGCAATTGAGTTACTCGTAAGGGTAAATGCCACTCCTCTCTTCGCTGGCTACTTCCCTGAACCCGACTGAATTTTGGTTATTTACATCAGATTTTAGTTTTGAATAAAGAATCAAATTCTTTGCCTTTCTTTTATTTTTATATATGGAAATGGGTTATGGGTTTTCAACTCTTGAGGGTAGTATTTTTTTTTTCCGGAAGTTTTAGTAATTGTAGGTTCATTTTGATTTGGGCATTTAGTAATATTTTGATCTGGTTACTGCCCCCCATTGACTGAATCTAGATGATCACATCCCAAAATTTACGCATGCAGGCATTAGTAATCACATTCTTTGCATATCAGTTATTTTATTTATGGAAATTGTTAATTCTGATAGGGAGTAGTTTTTTCTGGGACCGTGATAAATTGTCCATTTATTATGTTTTGGATTTTGATAGTTTTCAATTCAATAAGCTTACCTTGTATTCAACCGCAAATTCATGCCAATTTGATAATTGCCAATTTTATATTTCGGATACTGCTGAATGAATCTTGTAGAATCTTGTTCTGGTTTCAAGGTTGCTTTATGTCCACCTATTCCACTACCTTGACAATTATCTTCTATTTAATGTCCTAAAGAAAGTTATGTTTCTACTGTAACGTGTACTTAAATGCATTTAATCTTGCATATCTGTGCCCTTTGTTTCAGGCTGTGCCATTCATCTCTCGAAAGCATGGAACAAACAGGACAAGAGAGTAACGCACAAGAGACACTTGAAGTTTGTTCGAATGGGGCTGAAAATTCAAGTGCCTCTTCTTCCTTTACTCGAAAAGGGAATTCTTCAAAAACATCAACCTGAAGCAAAATTTTCATCTCCAACGCCAGTGAAAACAAAGGAGCCATCACGGATTAAGTGCAGAGAAGAAGTACCTGAACTTCCAGAGTGGTGGGACACTCAGAATATGCATTGCATGAAATTAAAACTGACATTCACTTTGAAAAACCTAAAACTGACATGATATATTTTCTCTCTATTTCCAGGTATACAGCATTATCTGAGTTTTTTGATCATCTGATTTGTTCACTGAGGTTGATCAGCCTACGGATAAAATCACCAACTTTCCATAATATCAGCAATCAGGTTGAGATCTAGGCAGGAAGGAAGTAACTGCTGCCTATATATATAGTATTTTTCTGCAATTTTTCCTAAAGATATAGCGTGTATCATCTTAAACATTGCTCGTATCTTATCAATGTCCACAATATCTCCATCTTGCTGTAGACGCTTTTCTCAGAAGACTGTTGCTGCAGAGAAAGAAAAGACTTGCCTACTTTCACTTATTAAATCTTCTTGTGTGGCTAATCAAGAAACTGAAGGAACAAGAACGTTTCCCAACTCTTCTTCCAAATCTGCAGCCACTATCCAAGTGACTCAGACTTCACATTGTCTTAGCTCTGCCACGTCTGGTAATACTCCTATGAAGCTGGCTTCCGCAGAAGGTGACAATCTAGTTGTTGAAACATCTGCACAATCTACTCCAATGAGATCAGTTTCACCAAATAGATCAGTGCTTACCTGTGAAGATGAGTGTAAGACTGCAACAAGCCAAAACTCCACAACTGGCAATCTGACTCACTGACTGCAAAGTGGTCATTAAATTTTTATACATTGGACGGTGATAATACTTCTTAGGACTTCAGTACTGATGAGATTAAGATGGAGCATTCTGAAGGTATTTGCAGTACCCTTCCTCGAACAAAAATGAAAGGGATTTCTGTAAAGTATGATACTGTTCTTGCCAAGGTAAAAATTAGCAGTTACCTGTGTTTTGTTTTTAACATTGCAATAGCTGGTTAAATAATTTGCAATTTTGAGTCTCTGGACCTTCGTAAGGGCTTATTTGTTTCTTGCCATCTGAGGATGATATGCTCATTTGTTGCGTCTTAGACATGTTCTTATAATTTAAATGCTGACGATCTTGCGAAATGTACATAGAATAGATTTAACCTCCATTCGGATACAATTTATGAATTGGTTTATAAATTCAGTTTGATTCAAACATTAATTTCAACCACACATTATTATCCTCATATTTCATGGGATCCACTACTACTCCTCTTTGTAAAGTGATTTATAAATTTTCCAAATGGAGGCATAAGTCAGACAACCATAATAACTAATATTGCTATTTGCATCAGCATGCACAGTGGTTTATTGCTAAACAAGGTTCACACTTGAATATGGAAGTGAATTTCTTAATATTCATTGGGTGCTTTTGCTAAAAAATAGTTACTTAGGTTAGGAATACCAAGGATTGTGAAGAGAGCCATCAAACAATTCTAAAGAGAGCATAAAGATTCCCCATAAGACCAAGGGATGCACACATTTTTTTCCCTTTATGTTGGATCACATATTTACATTTCAGGCTGGCATGCATGGAACTGTTATTATCAGCAGGCACGGTGGTTTATTGCTAAATTACCTCCACGCTTGAATATGAAAGTGAATTTCTTATTTTTCATTGGGTACTTTTGCTAGAAAAAACTACTCAGGTTAGGAACTCCAAGGATTGTGAAAAGCACCATCAAACAATTTTAAAGTGAGCATAAAGGTTCCCGAAAAGACCACAGGATGCAAATTATTTTTTTCCTTTCACAGTTTGTTCAAATATTTACTTTTATTATCAATTTTAGGATGAATAAATTTGTTTAAACCTTCATTGTGTTACACCAATTATTAAATCATTTTATTGCTCACAACTGACCATGAAATTCAACGGGATAGGTAGAGGAGGGCAGTTGCTACATTGATGATGACCATGAGCTGAATCAGAAGAAACTTATTTCACACCAGCATAGATCTATTTGTTTGTCTGACCTTGTTCTCTTAATTCACACTGTCTTTCAAGCTGTTAGCTTTCGTTCAATCACAAAGGAAGAACTTGTTCACAAGATTATTCTGAACAACTGTGATATTGATGACAGCAGTCAGCTCAATGCCGTAGTTTATTTTCTTCCCTTTCTCCTATTTCTATGTAAAATTTTTAAAACATTCCTGTGTATATTTAGTCGAGGTCATGATGCAAATAGAGCAACTGGAGAAACTGGTTCCAGACTGGTTTTATGAGAAGCTTGCTCCTTGTGGAGACCAGTTGTACAAGTTAGCATTTCTTCCTTTTTTGCAGTCATATGTTGGCTATAAGGGTGGGCCAGTGGGCTCCCATCAAGCTTTTCTTGTTGCTGTAATCTTTAGGTGGATCTATGAGATAATAATTGGGATAGGAAAAGGCTTGACCAGTGTGAAAATTCTGCTGTTTACTTAGCTATATATGTAGTAAACATTCACATCAGTAACTGTGCTGTTGCACATTTAACCTAGAGAAAGGTGCCATCCCCAAGATAGATTGTAAGGTACAAATGCAATACTACTTGAATTTAATATCTTCTGTTCTTAAATTAGAGGAACTGGTTTCTCATCAAAGTTCAACGTGTCTTTAAATTTTTACTTCAATAAAAGATGTTCTACGGTGGTATAAAAAAGTGTCGGACTTAAACTCAGTTCATGAAAGAATTAACATCGTATTATCCAATTGACTGAGGTGAGTACTTTAGCTTCTCTGTTTGTTTGATATAGACATGCAATCCTAATGTTAGTAGGAAACATAATATTATAAGACTTGGGAAAATACTGAAAATGGCATTGTACAAAATTATGTAATGATGTATTATATTCATTTTGTAGGGGCATATTTGCTTCAGATTGGAACATTTCAAAATTAGAACAGGTTCTGAAAGTCGAAGAGTTGAAATAGTGTTCTTGATTTTTGAGTTAGTCGGCAGTTTCCCCTTCAGAATGTAGATAGACTCTACCTCTACTGGATAGTTTGGTGGCTGTTCTAGGTTTCTACCTCTACTTGTAGGTTTATACGTGTTTTATGCATTTATATATGAAGCAGGATACGTATTTTTTACATATTTTATGCATGTACGTAAATGGAGCACTTTGAACCACGTGATGTTTAAGTTAGTGCTTGTTTGCCTCCCATTTTGTAGAAGAAATATAGTTTTGAATAATATTTTTTAAGAATGTGTGGTTAAAAAGTAAAGTAATTTTATTGGTTTGTGTATAGAATATTTTATTGAGTGTAAATCTAGCCGGTTCAAAACAACTTATTTAAGTAATTGGCTTGGGTGTTCATGAATGCAACTCGGTCTCATAGCTTTTTGTGGTGGAGATTGTTTACTGTAGCAAACAATATTTGATAAAATGGATGACGAACGTGGGCTTAATTCTATCTTATCCCTTTTACAATGCTGACTCTACATTCTAATTTGATTTATTTGAATTGCAACACACGTAACATAGCACACTATACACGGAACAGGAAAAAAGATATATTCTTTCTTCATTAATGGTTTGACTATTGACTTTTCAAATATGAAAAAAAGAAATAATTTCTCATAAATAATTTGACTATTGACTTTTCAGATCAAAGAAATTGTATTTTTTTTTCTTTCTACATTTTATAATTGGTACTATAATTAAAAGCAACTTGAATGTGAATGGCGGAGCCTATTTCGCACTATACTTCAATTATCAACCCTCCGCCAATGTTCTATTATGAACTAATGATCTAATTATTCATTGATTTTTTTTTTTTGAAAGGCATCTAATTATTCATTTCTAGGAGTAATAATAGAGCTATCAATTCACTTTGCCCCAATTGATTAAGGATTGTTGTTTTTGAACTTGAGGTCAAGATTGTACCTTGTTCCTCCACTCCCCTTTTAAAAAAGAATAATAATCGACCTAGAAAATCGAAAAATCACATATATGAGATGAAAAAGGAGATTTTCTTGATCCCTGTGAACTTCTGATGGATTTAATATATGTAGATATGGTCAGAGGAAAATATGAACGAAGACAACCCAAACAATTTTGGAGTTTTAGAATAGACCTCAAAGTGTTTAGTTATGTAATAAAAAGCAACAACAAAAATAATTGGGGCTCCACGCCGTTGTTTTCTCTAATAGTAGTGGTTCTAGTTATTTTTGGGACAAACTCGACAACATATGTCCTCTTTCCACCTTATCGCAAAAGTTGATCAATCTTGAAAAAAAAAAAAAGAACAATATAATTAGACTTCATACGCTCCAACATCTTCAATATACACGAACCCTTTGATATATTTCTTTTCATCCATTCGGACTTTGAATATGTTGGGAAATATGTAGGAAAATTTGAAAAAATTAATGAACTCCAAGACACGAAAATCGTTATCTTTTAAGAGATGTTTCTTTCATATCCAACAAAGTCACGACTGGCAGGATACAATGTAGGCGTTTGATTCAAACTGTGACTATTTGATCAAACCAATAAGACACTCTATAAAGAAACTGATAATGCCAAGAGAAAGAGAGAAGAATAGAAAATAACGAACTTTTTAATGTGTTTTGCAAATGAGAATTCGCCTAAAATATATAGAAATGGAGGCAACCATTTGAATATGAAAAAAATATCTATCAGAAAACACAATTAAGATAAGCTTAATCAAGATACTATTTTGCATCAAAGTCAAAGCCTATCCAAAATAAACTTAATTTTGTCAAAGATGAAAGGTTCCTTTCTGTGTGCCATTGTGAGGTTAGAGCAACTATAAAAACTAGATGCTCAACTCCATTTTTTTCTATGCACGTAGATTTTCATTGGCTAACTATGAATATAACAACTAAACTCTCCTTGTCATTCATTCTCCTCTCTTTCTACACCATCACCTCTTTGTTCAGTCCATGTTCAGCCGCTGAAGCACCCGAGCCGGTGCTCGACATCACTGGAAAAGCACTCCGGACCGGCATTGATTACTACATATTGCCTGTCATCCGGGGCAGAGGTGGTGGGCTTACACTAGCCAGCATTAATGAAACTTGCCCTCTCGACGTTGTTCAAGAGCAAATGGAAGTTAAAGATGGCCTTCCATTGACATTTACACCGGTCGATCCTAACAAAGGGGTGATCAGTGTCTCCACTGATTTAAACATCAAGTTCTCGGCTGCCTCAATCTGCGTTCAGTCCACTGTATGGAAGCTCGACGAATCAGCCGGGAAATATTTCGTGACAACCGGTGGAGTTGATGGCAATCCCGGCCGCGAAACTATAAGCAACTGGTTCAAGATTGAAAAATATGAACGTGACTATAAGATTGTTTTCTGCCCTACGGTGTGTGACTATTGCAGGGTTAGATGCGGAGATGTTGGTATTATCATACAAGATGGATACAGACGTTTGGCTTTGATTACTACTGATGATGATGTTCCATTTAGAGTTATGTTTAAGAAGGCTTGAAAGTTAAATTATACCTTTGTTATGTTTAAGAAGGCTTGAAAGTTAAATTATACCTTTGACATACTTAAATTCTGAAAATGTAACAAGTATATTTATGTAATAAGGAACATTTTACTTCCAGTGATATATGCAAAGATGGGCGTTTAATTAATACTAGATGGTAGTCGTACGTGACCTGTTATAAACCTATCCACCGTGGCATAATCAGGGCGTAGCCGAGCTAAGTAGATAAATCCTCACGCGCACGATTATTTCCAGGGATGTCGGTATCTCGATCTGTGATGGAGTTAGACACTTGGCTCTGAATGATACTCCATTCGAGGTTATGTTCAGGAAGGCCTAAAAAAATTCCTCGTTGGATATGAGGGAGGAAATTGATGGGAAAGAATTTTTAAAAAAGCCTTCTGTATGCGAAGGAAGGTTTTAACATATGTATTTGCATTCCCAGATGTTTCTTCTGTTTCATGTTCTGTTCAAGGATGTGTTGCCCAATTAGGGAATCTCCGGATCTATGCTTATTTTCAACTCCTTGAAGGATTCTGTCAATTCTCATGTCTTTCATTGTTTGTAGGAGCATAGGTATCCACTGTAACTCAGTTCCTCTTTTTTGAATCTTAGGGCTGGGTTATGGAATCCTTTATATGAACAGCTTGTGAAAAATAAGGAATTTGCTTTGAATTGACATCCCGAAACGGATTAGTGACTAATTAAGTAATTGATGGACAAGAACATATGACATGTTTAACTGATGTAGCACTGCGATTAAACCAGATGAATCATAATTGACCATTCTGATTTTTGAGAAAAGCACGTTTGGCCGTGCTTCATTTATAGAAGGAGGCAACTTTGATACTGTTGAAATAAGAAAAAAAGAAGCCATTTTGTTGGGTTTTAAGCTTAACGAAACATGACACTTGACTATTCCTTCCTTCCTACCTCATGCTGATGCCCATATTGTAACTGTCTTTACCTCTAAATTTGTGCACCTTTTTTTTTTTACTAGTGATGGCCTGTAACAGATGATATTAAAGTGTCAGACTCTTGCAGATAATGCATGTGGGAACTCACCTCTCCATTTAGAAAATACAAACACATAATTTCTAGCATAGCAGTTTAAATTTTCAATCAAACTTTTCCTTCTTCACAAGTTCTAGTACATCAAAATGGGAAGAAGACTATTGCAGTTCCTGCTACAGGTAAGAACCAATATTTCAACTTTTCTTGCATACATGGCCCCATATGTATTTCTCGTATTTTGATTTTTTTGACTAACAGGAAGCTTCAAGGCAATTACTGAAAATCTTGGGACCAAGATTCCCACTATCAGATTCAGGTCCATTTCTTTGTTTCCCTGTAAAATTTTAAAATTAAATGAAGTTTTTAGATGGCTGTAGGGGTCTTGGAGGAGGATGAATCATTTGTACGAGGAAGAATGGATATTGAGCACAGATTATTCGGGCACTGGTGCAAATAACCACCATGATCCTAGACCAACTGGAAGCTTTTGATTGGTAGTTTTTTCCGGGTTTTGTGTTTGAGATGGAATGTTTTTTCTCTTCTTCTTTCCTTAATAAAATCATTGAATTGTTTGCTACAGCCTACAATGCTAGTCTTCTCTATCAGTTACAAAAACATTGGAACAGTACAGAAATGCCAAAGCAATCCCAAAGACAACTTCTTTGAACATATTGTACTAAAACGAACAACACATGATTGACGTAAATTTCTAAATACAAATTTGGGTAAACTACTGTATTGACTCTACTGTACTTGATTGAAAATATTTGAACAAAGTTCTCAAACTTTTCGTCTCTCAAATTCAGACGATGATGCAATAAAAGGAGATTTCCATTTTGCTTTCTTCAAAGTTCAAATCCATCTTGTGACTAATCTATTTGCATATAGAAATGGCCTTTTGGAGATTCAAAAAGGCTTTCTCATACCGTACAAATCCCATAAACCAAAATTCAAAATTGTCTTCAGTGACAATTTCTATGTACTTCTGTGATGGATTGTTCGCGTTCTCACTTTGTTTAGCTTCTTTTATCTTCTTCACAGGAACAGAAACCTGCAGCAATGAGACTTATTATGAAATACACGATAAAATCATGATTCGGATAGTCTATAATGGAGTTTAAGTAGATACAGTAACGAAATCCTTAAAAGGTTCATTCTGTGAATGACACTCAACTAGATAACAATTGAATCTTGATATTATTTACCTTGTAAAGAGTTCTGATAAGGGCTCCAGAAGAGGATTGGACAGTAATGGATCTTTCACTGCAGAATGAAACCTTTTCTGTAGAGATAAACAGAATCCCAGCAATTGGCCCTGCTGAGGTTGATAAATAGCATTGAGATGCCTTCAATAGCTTCTCTCCATTGATGACACCAAAAATGTCCTTGAAAATGTTTTCTCTACCACCTTTCTTGATTATTTTGGCCCCAACACTCAACTTCCCCTTCACCGTTTCAGAAAATTTAGGCCCCAGCCTCACTGCAAATTCACACACCATGTATAAAAGAAATGCTACTTTTAAACACAACAGAATTCAGCATCCACAAAAGATTTTTTTCCTCTACATGTTGAGAATACCAATCTTGAAATCGGTGTGTTCGTTTGAGTCTTAATCAATCAAATTGCTAGTTGGATCTTAAAATGCTTTGTGGGATTCCCTTAACAGATATTTTAAGCGATTGAGGTGATTTGAAAGCTTTTTCGACCCAAATACGATTTTCTTAACAATTGACTTCTTTCTTTCACTTCTTCAACTAAAATTATTGAAGTCCCCATTTTTTAATGCTCTCTATGTCCAAAGCAGTCTATTTCTTGCTTCTTTTTCGTTGGTAAAAGCTAAATTATCATAAAAAACTTACCGTGCTCGCGAATTCTGTAGGCAACACTATTGGCCTTCCTTTCTAATTTCTTCTTATGATTTCTCACTTTCGCGGTCTCTTCCTCCTTATCTGCAATTCAAAGAAACTTCGGTTATTCTTCCGAACCTCCATAGATACCCTCAAATGAAAGAGATTAGTCGATATGAATTTAATATATACTTGATCTAAAGTAAGTAGAGTCCTCAGAAGAGGAGGGACTTTGGAAGGACTGATCAGGCGATGAAGAATCCCTTGCTGGAGTAGCGTTTCCAAATGAATGGCTCATTAAAGGGCTTCCAGAAAAACGATGTTCAAATTGATTATCCTCGTTCATCTTTAAGTACGAGATCGCTTCACACCTCTCGCCTATCCTATCCTATCGAAGTTCTATTCAAAAACCTCTTCCAAGAAGAACCTCAATTGACATTGCAGGAAGTAGAAAAAAAAGAGGAAATGTAATGAATCTCTCTGTCCGGTCTGCTACATAATTGCATTGCAATGACCTGTCATCGTCTTTGCCCCACAAATGACACACTTGTTTTGAATTAAAGTTTGATGTAAAATCGGCAGCTCAGCTTGACTTGGAATCAGTATTCAACCAAAGACTACAGTGTAATTTTGCAGAGATTCTTGTGACAAATCAATTATTCTGTCACTTCTTGGAAATTTCTTAAAAGTCAAGATAGGCTTGCTTTTTGTGGGGGTAAGAGAGGAAAATTCTGAACAATCATACTACGTGTACAATTGAGGATGACAATGTTGGATTACCAACACTCACAATGGGAGGGACCCACTTTTTTTTGAAATTTTTTAATCACTCGAGACCCGCATGCTTATGAGAGGTTATCAACCTCTATTGTCAACCACCATTGTACAGATGGAATTACCCTTTTTCAAACTATGCCAATATTTCCAAAGTTGAAGTCAATTAAAATCGAAGTCAACAAGTACGAAATAAAATAAGATGGCTATTTTAAAGAAAGTATTCACGATAAGTTTACAATAAATTTATTATTATTTTAAAAAAAATTCAAAATAAGGAAATTCGATAGTTCCGTCAAAATCACCAACACGGTTGATCATCTCCAACATATGAAAATGTTGGCAACCACACGTTGTATGATTATTATATCTATTGTTAATTCACCTTCAATACTATGTTATCAGAGTACCTTATCAACGTGATTACCAATCTTTTTGTAGTGTTGTCGTGATAACATTTCAAAATCACGTCTAATTTTCTTGTCGTTTATTAAATTTCACCATCAATTTTTTTTAGACGGTAAAATAATGTTGTACCAAATATCCGTGATGTCAATTTTAAGATAGTTTTCAAATTGTTTAATAATACTGTATAATTGTACAGAAAGTAGGACTTTAAAATTCTTTGTCTGCCCTTATAGTATACTTTTCGTAGTATTCTATTATTAGTTAAATTTATCCTAATTGACAAAACAAATATATATATATACAGAAAAAATCAAGAGCGGAAAACAATTGGGAATCAATTCTACAAAATATAATATACAGGAAATATGAGGAAATGACTTTTTTATTCTTGTGTAATTTCAAAATGACATTTGACTGGGAAATAGAATAAATAAAAAATGTGAAAATATAACTTTACTTGAAAAAAGTCAAAAATACCCTAACTTTATTAAAAGAAAGGCTATCACTCACGAATTTGGGCCGACTGTCACTTGGGCCACAGCCGGCCCAGATTCGGCTCCTAGATCCGACTGTTGACAGCCGGATCTGGGCCGCTGTTAAGTCGGCCCATATATATATAATTTAATATAATAAATGGTATTAATAATTTTGACAATGTGTGAGGTGTATAGATCATTACCATTGAATTCAAAAACAATCTTTCAAATCAATGAGCATAACGCCTGCCAACTCACACATTGTCAAACTTATTGTCAAATTCATTGTACAAGTAGCATAGTTCAATTTTTTAATCACGCGGGACCTACATGCATGTGAGAGGTTGTCAACTTCCATTGTCAACCATCAATTGTACAAATGAAATTACCCAATTCCGAATATGCATCTCTATCCATTCGTTAAGGTGGTTATTAATTAATGTGGAAATTTTGATCCAAGGAGAGAGTAGCAGTTGTTTACCTAAATCGTTCACCGTTGACCTATTAAAATAAAGAAAAAAATATTTAGTTAGTATATGATAAAGGAAAAGGACAATGTGGGATAACCTAACCTAATTCATCTTCAATTGATTGGTAACTGCAAAAGTATTTGAGCAAAATAAATACGAATTCAGTATAGTTTCTAGATGCTGTGTTTGTTTGAAATTTGACCGTTAGAGCACAAGGATGACCACGGAAAAACTGGGTATACAAACGTCTCGTGTAAGTTCAACTCTTATAACAAAAATTAAGCAAATGATTCAAAGTCTTAACAATATCTCATATCAACTAGAATAATGTTTCGAGTCTAAACCCTGAATATATATATATAATCTTTAATCAAATCACTCAACTTTGATTTGCTTAAAAATTTGACTAAGTCGCCATTGTCGTCAGTCCAATTAACATAATTTGTTGAAGACAATGGATTGAGTGGCCAAGCAAATCAAAATTGAATAGCTTGATTATACTAAGTTAAAGATAAGTAACTTGGATGCAATTTCACTAAAAATTGAGTTGCCCTCGATGCATTCAACCCCTATAAAAGAAGAAGAATACACTTTTACATTTAACTTTGTTGAGGATCCATTTGGTAGGCTTCGTTTTATGTTTCTTGTAGAAGAGTTTTCTGAAAAAATTATCTTAGATCACTCTCTTCTAAAAACTCTTTTAATCAAAAGATGCTTTTTCGAAATTTATCCAGACACGTTAAAAAATAATTTGTTGTCTTAAAAAGCTTTTGAAAAAATGCACTTTCCAAAAACTTGATCGTTAGACACACGGGCGAACCCGGGTCCTGTGGGGTCACGTGACCTCTCGACTTTTGAATTTTTTTTTTTATTTTATTTATAGTCCAATTTTTTTTATTTATATATCCGATTTTAATCCACACCAAATAATGACAAAATCAAAATAAATTTGAATTTTTTACTTTCTTCTCTTGCTCTCTCCTTCACGTCATTTACCAAAATTTTGACCTTCTAATTTTTTAAAATTTCTCTATGATTTCTCTACAAATTATCACATCTACTACAAATTTTCACTTTTTAACTAATTAGAACTTAAATTTGCATTTTTTTCCTATCAAATTATGTATATAGATTGTGTCTGAATTGATTATATCCAATTTGACTTATATTTAACGAATTGTGTTTATGTGATTGATTATTAGTATTGAATATTGGTTATCTATATTTTTTTCATTATTTGTATTGATTGTTTGTATCAAATACATTATAAATATTTTAAACGTAAATATGCATTTTCTGATTATTAGTATTGAATTTTAGTTATATGTCTTTCTTTTCGATTACTTAAAATAATTGTTTGTATCAAATGCTTTATAATATCTTTAAACGTAAATATGCATTTTCTCGTGAAGAGTAAAATATTAATACAATGACTGTTCGAAATCAAATGGATGAAAATGATGAGCAAAGTATTAATGAAGAAATGTCTTTTAAATATGAATTTGCATTTTTAGATCAAGTATAAATCATTCAAAAATCAAGAATAAAGTACTCGATTAATAGAGGATTTAATTGTCTTCCCTAATTTAAAATATTTGCGTCCGCCCCTAGTTAGACAAGTGTAGTGAACTCGAGCATTGTGGTGATTTTTTTAAACCTGGTCTGGTCAATCAATATAATAAATAGAACAGATTATACTTCAACTATCCTAAAGCAAAAAAATGTACAATATGGTTCAGTCACTTCCCACTGTGTCTGTATCACCACTCCATAAGGTTCTCCCCCCAAATTCCAACACCAAAACTTGTGCCCCAGCAATTTCAAATACTCCAAGAGTTCCTGAATTTAACTCCATATTTGAGCTCAACCAAGTGCTTGCCCATGTCGTTAAAACTGGTACTCCATTCTCAGTCCTCCCGCTTTCCCATGTAGCTTCTCTTTGTGCTTTAACTCCTAGCTTCTCGGATGCCCAGAAAATCTTTATGCATGTTCATCAACCTGAAATTTTTCTTTGGAATTCTTGCTTAAGAGATTTTGCTGAGAGTGATTCTCCATTTAATGCTATTTTGTTGTTTCACCAACTGAGACTACACAATGTCTCTCCTGATAGTTTTACTTGCTCTTTTGTTCTCAAGGCCTGTCTGCAAATTTTGGATGTTTTTCATGGAAGAATTATTCACGCTTATATTGAGAAACTTGGGCTTCAATGTAATTTATTTTTGCAAAACATGCTTGTGCATTTATATGCATCTTGTGGGAACATAAATGATGCCAGGCAGTTGTTTGATAAAATGCTGCAACGAGATGCTGTGACTTGGAATATAATGATCACCCAACTAGTGAAGAGGGGTGATGTTGAATCGGCTTATGAATTGTTTTCGCAAATGCCTGAGAGGAATGTGAGGTCATGGACGGCTATGATTGCAGGTTTTGTCCAATGTGGGAAGCCTAAGGAGGCTATTGATCTTTATGCAGAGATGGAAGAGATTGGCTTAAGGCTTAATGAGGCAACCGTGGTGGCCGTTCTAGCAGCTTGTGCTGATCTAGGCAGACTTGATCTTGGGAGAAAGATTCATGAGTACTCGGAGAAGAGCGGGTTCAAGAGAAATATTCGAATTTGTAATACTCTGATTGATATGTATATCAAATGTGGATGTTTGAAAGATGCTCAGGATGTTTTTGAGGATATGAAGGAGCGGACAATTGTTTCATGGTCAGCCATGATTCAAGGGCTGGCAATTCATGGACAAGCTGAGGAAGCTTTGGAACTATTCTCCAAGATGATTCAGACAGGGTTGAAGCCAAACAGGGTCACCTTCATTGGACTCTTGCATGCTTGCAGCCATATGGGACTTATAGATGAGGGCCGGAGATTTTTTACTAGCATGACTACAGATCATGGACTTATTCCCAGTATCGAACACTATGGTTGCATGGTTGATTTATTAAGCCGTGCTGGGCTCCTGCAAGAAGCCTGTGAGTTCATAAAAGCTATGCCAATGAAACCAAATGCAGTAGTCTGGGGCACCCTTCTAGGTGGGTGCAAGGTCCACAAGAACATTGAAATGGCCGAAGAAGCAATCAGACACTTGCACGAACTGGATCCACTCAATGATGGATATTATGTGCTTTTATCAAACATATATGCAGATGCAAAGCGATGGGAAGATGCAGCAAGGGTGAGGAAGATGATGAAAGATAGACAGGTAAAGAAGACACCCGGGTGGAGTTCAATTGCCGTAAAAGGTGTGGTTCATGAATTTGTAGCCGGGGATGAGGCCCATCCTCAAGCTGAGGAGATTTTTAAGAAATGGTACGAACTACTCGAACTCATGAGGTTGAAAGGATATGTGGCAAACACCTCTGTGGTTCTCCTAGACATGGAAGAGAGTGAGAAGGAAAGGTTTTTGCATCGCCACAGTGAGAAATTAGCTGTGGTTTTTGGGCTTCTCAATACCCCACCTGGAGAAACAGTTAGGATTTCAAAAAATCTACGGGTCTGTGAAGACTGTCATGCTGCTTTAAAGTTAATTTCTGAGATTGTTAACCGAGAAATAGTTGTCCGCGATAGGAACAGGTTTCATTGTTTTAAAGATGGTTCTTGTTCTTGCAAGGATTATTGGTAGTTAATGTGAGTTCTGAGAATAATCTTGTAAACTCTCAATCTAAATGCCAAGGTGCCCTTTGATCATCATAGTATTCATAACATCCAGCTGCAATTGAATTTGCTCTTTGTCTTTGGTATAGGAATTTAAAATTAATGCTAAAAATAAACTGCTCTTTGGTATAGGAATTTAAAATTAATGATAACAGTAAACTACATACTTCTTGACTTCGCTAAATTTTTGGCAACTTGTCAACTGATCAGACTTAAATTTTAATCATTTATTTAATGAAATTCACAATTTTTATTAACTTTTCAATTACGTATTTCATAAATTTTATTTAAATATCTTTTACCAAAGATTTTGTCAAACAACCACTAAGAATTAAGATATTATCTCCCAAGTTATAAGATCACTCATGAATTAGGAAAATTAAGAAAATACCTTGACTACATGTTCGATCACCGTTAGCCCTAGAAGTTCTAGGTGATCGGCTAACAAATTCAACATTTAGTCGAACAATACTAAATTTTTTGACCAATATGATTGAATATAAATATAATAACATCTTTGTCCGAATAACAATATAATTATACTCAAAACACAATCCGGTTCTTCTATTGTTCAACTCATTACACAAAGACCCAAAATTTTAAACTAATATTTAGATCGGTTCAGTTGATTTTACTATTTTTCTTTTTTCAAGCTATTCCTTTTTAAAGCTAAATATGCGGCTTGATAGTGGAGAAATTAGTGGGTTATCTTTAAGTTCATAAAATTACTATAAGAAAAGTGAGTCTCTTGTCTCTTAACTATCTTTTTGGGGGCATTCGTGTTGAGTTTTTGGTAAGATTGACACTCCGTGATCAATGTTTAAATTTACGGAGTTTGTTGTTCTTTGATTTTATTTTTACTTTTTGTATATACTGATGGTTTTAATGGGTATATGAATGTTTGGATATTATTAAACGAGAACAATGGGTCATAAGGATTTATGAGACTGGTGGTTGAATTGGGTATCCATTCATTTCTGTGGGTTCTTCTCCTTTCTTTTTTTCTTTTCATTTTTTCCCCCTCATTCAATTATTTGTGCATAAAGGAGTAATTATTTATCGAAAAATAAGCTTTTTGGATTTTCTTGAAGTTAATTGATATGCACGTTGAAGAAGATTGAACGCTTTTCCACTCTCTTATTTTTCACCTCTTTGCTGGTACATTTTTGTTTTACTCAAACAACTAATTGCTTCAGAATTGCAGAAACAGGCGTGATCGAATGTTATATTTATGGTGGAATTTATAATCCTTGTGGATTTGGGATAGTGATTTCTTTCTTACCTTTTTCATTAAGGGGGGGATCATCTTGTGAATTGTTGTCTATTAGTTTCTCTCATCATACCTCATTGCATTCGAATTAGACATAATTAAACCAGGTCAACTTTGTTGCACACATTTATAATTGCATATTAATTCTGTGACAGGATTAAGTTGCTCGCAGTGTTGTTCACATTTCTGTTTGACTGCAGTTGAATATTAGTTATGTCTGACAATAGGAGAGTGAAGAGAGATATTACTTCATTGTGACCTGTTTAAGCTGCTCCTTGTGCATTTACATTTATGTTTGGCTGTTGAACTTTAGTGCCTAAAATGTAAAGGAAACAAAAAGATGGGAAAAATGAGCTTTCAATTTTCAGCATTAGAGACATGAGAATACCATGAATAATGAATAGAACTTATAAATTCTTTCACTTCTGCTTCAATGATCTTGACTCCTTAAACCTTATTTTACTGTGAAATTAACATTAGGAAGCCCAATGCCGATTTTATTAAGATCCCTTTCATGATATACGTCTGTCTTTTGGTTCCTAACAATTTTATTTTATTCCATTCTACAATGCTATACAACTCTATACTCAAGTTTAAAGTATATTGAACAAATATGCATAATCTTACCATTTGTGCCACATATGGTTCCAGAGAGGATCAAGCTTGATCCCAAATTTGGGGTACAACATCCTAGCATACTTAATTTTAGAATGTCCCTCATACTCTAAGACGTTCTTCTTTCTTCCTAGCAGACAATGTTTGTTCAGTTATCTCCTACAGTTGTGGGATCTTTCTAGTCCACTCTATCCACACCATTATGAGATTCTTTATATCCTTTACATCCTCCCAGTGCCGGCTTTACTTGTAGAATGCTAGATCACTACTTTTTGACCTGGTTGAAGTAGAGACATATGATTGCCGTTACAGTCCAATTTAGTTTCAGTATTAAATTGTTGGATACATGCAAATCTGTTTACGAGGACCGAATTTAAACTGAGACCATTGTGATGACTCTTCTAGTCTTTTCTGGGAACTTACCTATTGGTCACTATTCACTTATACATTCATCAAGGAAGGAGTGCAAAGCAAAACTATCAGTGTTAAATTTGATGTGAAGAACTTTGATTGGAGAGAATTTTGGCCTGTGGCAAGTGCAAGTCGAGAATGTGTTGATACAACACTAGTCGAAGTGTTGCCTCAAAAAATATCTATTTGTAGTCCATACACCCCTGCTCTGGAATTAGTCAAGTGATTTACATTTAGTCAAAAATTCTAAGCGTGTTTGTGGTTTTGGTTTTGTTAAGCCAAAAACATTATGGAAGGCTTGTGTTTTTTTCATTTATATTATTTTTTGATATTGATTTCTGGTTTATGCATTACTAAAGTTGAATCTTTTATTATTTTGCAGGCGTCCTGTTTCAGTGTTCTGTGCTGTAGATCCCGATGGGGGTCAGAAAATTGTTGCAGAACCATAGTGATGTCCTGCCAGCCGTATCTGCTGGTGATCAGCTCAGATAAATATGGATGATCTCCATATAGCATCTATTTCCCCTGTTAGTCCACTCAAGATTGATGAACAGAAGGCACATAGAGGGCATATTGTGGGTAGCGATTGTTTGTTTAAATCAATTAACACTAAAAGCTTTCCAAGATCTCATTTTCTACGGCAATCTTGCAAAGGTGGCTTTACAAACAAAACGAACAAGTGGAGACTGCGTTCTAATTCTTCATCTCAGAATCCATTCAACAGTGGTGCATCAGATGGGTCTGCTGAGGTATGCAAGGGAGATAAAGCTGCTGAAGAAATTCGAGGAAGAAAACTAGAAAGAGGGGAAAGCGGAATAAAAATCTCCTGGGCAGTAAAAGCTTAACTGAGCATGGATATGGGGATGGAAAATTGACGCCAGTCAGTGATAATACGCATAGTTTTGGTCCACCTGTATATGAAATTGGATTGGGAGTTTCTCCACCAGAACCTTGTTGTAATAGTGACAGTCGTCAGCCAAAAAATATTCTAGGATATTAACACATTTACAGCTGAGATTCTCTTAGAGAAATAGGAAACTTTCCAACAAAAACCCCCCATATTCATCTTCTTCCCCCAACCTCCACCCCAAAATAGAGCAGATTCATCATATCAGAAATCACATAAATGCACTCTGAATTCGATTTCTCTTCCTCCACCGATGGTTGCTCCACCACCTTGGGCTTTGTGGTTACCTCATCAGGGGTTTGCTTTATTGGGGCTTCAGATTCCATTTTATAAAAAGCAATAGCAATTTCCTGAGCCACAGCGTCGACAGGGGCTGACGGAGCTTTCGAGCTCATCGATTCCGGCGAGGACGACGGGTTTGGATGGGTGGGGGTGGTTTGTGAAGGTGAATAGTGTTACCTTTTTCATGTTAAAATTATGAAGTTACCATTTTGCCCTTTGTTGATTTGTTTAAAATAATTTTTTGGAGTCAATTAACAGTCAAACTAACGATTTACATCCATTNGAGTCAATTAACAGTCAAACTAACGATTTCCATCCATTCGGACTTGACCTGCGAATTGTTTGAAGGTTTGGTATTGTGGGTGGTACAAATCAAAGGTTTGGATAAAGTCTGCAAAACGTTGAAAGGTTTGGTACCGTGGCTGCCCCTTATATATACGTGTTATGTTTGCGTTTGTACCTCAGAAAATGAGGCAGAATGAACAGTTCATGAGCATTTTTGAAGTCTTTAGAGATCTGTGTGGCTTAAACGGATCAATGCTTCTAAATAATTCAGTGATCTATGGTCAACATACAGAAAACTGGTTTCACAAACAATCTATGGAATTAATTTTTTTCCTGATTCCTGTGTTTCAGGATAAAGGAGCTTGTTAGAGGTGAAGGACGTTCAAAATGCAGAGCACATGGAGATCCCACTGTTCTAGAGCTGGTGGGTCTACAGGATCTTCACCAAAGTTCATGGTCAGTAAATGTAGAGACTAATCTAGAATAATAAGTAAAGTTAGTTTGATATGAACATATATTGGTGTTGAGCATTGACAGTCTATTTTCAGGTATTCAGTGGCATGGTATCCCATTTATAGAATACCTGATGACACTCTTCGTGCGGCTTTCTTGACTTACCATTCACTTGGCCATTTGGTACGCAGAGACCTCATATATGATTCGTCGGTGGATACTTGTATAGTTTCTCCGGTTGTGGGCCTCCAGAGCCACAATGCTCAGGTAGATATATTCTGCGACAAATTCTTCTTTAAGTTCCCAAAGACCTGTGTTATGCATCCTCTGCTAGAGGAGCTCTTAACTGCTCTGTGTTATTGCTTTGGATCTATTCCGCATGTCTTTATACAACTAGTACCGCAAAACGCAAGTGTTGAGCCCTGATTTTCCATAGTGCAGTGAGGATTAATCAACTGAAAGTGTAATGTTAGCTTGGAGGTCTCCTTGAACTTCCATAAAATCTATTTAATGTGGAAAATAAATATTATTTCAAAATTTAAGAGAGATGGCATGAGTTCTATAATATTATTGTTGAATGATTAAACAAAATGAGGATTGTCATTATGCAACTAGCAACTATACAATTAGATGGATGAAATAATATTTGAGATAACTCTAGGTTGTTGTGTCCATGGAAATATTAAGGCAACAAATAACCTAATTCTAGATTGCCTCTGCAAAAAGATTGTGGGCAACAAGAAACTCAATTCTAGCTGGTTATCTTCACTAGAAGATCAAGACAATCTTGCCCGTGAATGGCATTGAGAGAATTTTACTTTGGTGGAATACGATGAAGACCAAAAAGAATATCATGAATGATGCAAAAGAAGAGTTATTTTTCAATAATTACATCCATCATATGACTGCGTCAAATTGTAATGTTAAATGACCATAAACGTATGTAACATTAATTTGCTTATGATAATCGGTTGCAAATTTGATCAATTCTGGCAAAAGAGGAAGATTAATTGTCCAAATTTATTGGGAGTAAGACTTTGATTTTCTGTGTGTGGCAAAAAAGAGCAAGATGTAGCCTCTCTCCCTCTCGATCAGTTAGAAACTTCCTGGAATTGGAGTCTTTTATTGCATGGTAGAAACACACTCTTTTACTGCAATTACAGCATTGCTGCATTTTTACTGCACTTGACCATTTTCTTGTACATTCAAAATGAACACTGAACCTGGTTTATTAACGTGTACCTAATAAAGGCACACTTCAATTGGTACTGAACTTGATAGTTTCTCTGTTCTATCTATGGAACAGAAGTACTGTCCATGAGCTTCATTATTAATCTTTGACTGTATTTTTCTTCCAATCTAGTTTCTCTTGTAATTTCATTTTGTATATGAATGGCAAATGAGCAGGGTGAATGCTGGTTCCGTCCTAGGCTCCCTGAAAAAATTCCGACAGCTGACACTCGGAGAATTTTGAAAGAGCGATTGAGGATTCTCGAGCAGACAACATCTCTTATGGCTCATGCTGTTATTTTAAAAGGAAGTCAGACATTTGTAAACAGACAGCCTGATTACGAGTTCTTTCTGTCTAGGAGAACCTAGTAATTTCGTGTATGTACATATTTGTGATTTCTCATGGAGTACTGGCTAGTGCTAGTGCTAGTGCTAATGCTTAGTTATCGTTGTATAGCATTTGGGCCGAGGTTTTAGCTCAGCAGCATACTTTCATGTTTGTTGTTTAGCTTTGTAGATTATTTCAAGTCAGTTACTTCTTTTTGTTTTGTCATATTTTGATTTGGAAGGTGAAGGCCACAAAACCATTAAGAATTATCTGTGGTTATATGGCTATCACGACCAGTAACGTTTATTAGGTTGGACACATTTTGGTACTTTTGACAGTAGTTTAGGGAAAATGAAGTTAGAATATTGTTCACTATATACTCTTCAATTATACGAGTCAGATCTAATACTGCATGCTAAACATGCACTTATAGTTCAAGTTTTGAAGGATACAAATTGAGGAGGAAATCTTGTGAGCATGTTTGCCTTTGCTTCTTTTATCTTTTGGTATTTTGTCCATTTTGACCGAGAAAATGTGGTGTAGTTACACTCTTCTTGATGACGAAATAAGCAAGTTTCTTCTATTTTGTAGCTTTACAGTTAAGCCAAACAAGTTTTACAGATATTTTCTTGGATAGTCTTAGAACATGCTTATGAGAAACTAGTTAACTGAAAAAATGATTTTTCTTGTAGAGTAGGACCCAACAACTCGAAATCTTGGTAAGGGTCAAGTCTTCGAACTGTTATCCACCACAAAATTTTTGTTATATTTTTCAATGAATACACAATCTTCCACGATAGCCGCCATTATTATGAGCGTATTTGTCAAGTTGAAAAGCTATAAAGTAGTTAAAAACTTGTTTTTTTTTCTCGAGTCCCCTCAGGGCCACTGAGATGAGTACTCGGTCGTAAACTTCAGAGTCCTGTGGGATTAGTCGAGGTGCGCGCAAATTGGTCCGGACATCCACAGTTATCAAAAAAAAAAAAAAAACTTGCTTTTTTTTCGACAATAAGTTCAATACTTCATTTTATCTTCAATAGAAAAAAAAAATTATGATACAAAAAAGGATAAGCAAGAGGACGCCTTTCCCTTCTTTTGCAGGCAAAAGAAAAGCCAAGCATGTTAATATACTTTATTCTAGATTTTATTTTTCATATATATAGTCTCTTGATAACTACTCATAGCAATTTTCATAATACTTACAATTAGTGTTGACTCGACGACTTTTACACAGTTCCATTGGTGATGACAAAATGAATGTCGTAATCAAGATGGAACCTATCACTAGTTTGGAGGATTGTATACTATTAGTAGTGGAGAAATACTAATTTTCTGTCAATATGAAAAATATCATAGACAAATATTGTCCATGATTGTGATTATTGTGGTGACATTTTGTCTGTTATGCAGCAAAAATTGAATTCATCTCGAAGTTTGAGTGGTAAAAGAAGTGAAGAAAAATAAGTGGTTTCTTAGATATTTTCAATTTTCTAAATGCAAACTCAATTATGGACATATATCTATCATCTTTTTACATTTCTTTTTTGTTATAAAGATGATTGCTTAACTAGTGTGAAGATTGGTGAAGATTGATCAAGATTAATTCCTACGTGAGCTAATGCAGTTTAAGATTTATAAGAAAAGCTGTTGACTTGGAGCATGTTCTGCTAATCTTAAAAATCACTTTTAAGTTACTTTTATGTGATAACTTTTTTTTTTCTTATTTTTAAAAATATGTTTATTCTAGAAGTAATTATAACCTTATTGTCAAAATAACGAACTTAGTTCTAATGTAGATTCGTAAATAAATTATTTATTGTGAAACTTATTTACTTATAAGTAAACTTGTGAAGCTTAGCCAAAGGTCGTCTTAGTTGGATGGTTGTAACTTGTAAGGAGTAATTTCTAACTTGTCCCTCCCTAGTATTCCAACCCATATATCACAATGGGTTAATTGGATGCAAGATAGAGTTGAATAGACCGGTTCTTGACTTGTTTAAATAGTTTCTAACTTTATGATTTTTATACGAAAACGGAGTAGCTCTCAATTTTTGGAATCGAACCAACCAGTCTGGTCCGATTTTGCGAGTGGCAGAATTGAAAAAGTCCTTCCATGAATTGAGGTAGTATTATGACATGTGCAAGTTGCTTTCATGCCCCCCACACCCTTGAATCCAATATGTGATTCCACTCAAGTCTTCATAATTACATCCCAATTCCTTCAATAAACTATCTACAAAAGAAAGATTCCTTGAATAGTCTAAAGTTAAAATCCAAAGTGGATTGGAGAGGAGAGATGGACAATGGAAGGGAAAATAATACAGAAAATGGAACGAGATTGGAAGATGAAACTTTAAAGAAATTGGAAGATGAAGAATTGTCAGTAGAGAGGATATTTGAGAATAAGGAGGTGCCTTCATGGAGAAAACAGTTAACAATGAGAGCTTTTGCAGTGAGTTTCGTGTTGTCAGTGATGTTCTGCTTCATAGTAATGAAGCTCAATCTCACTACTGGTATTATACCATCTCTGAATGTCTCAGCCGGTCTATTGGGATTCTTCTTCGTCAAGACTTGGACAAAACTACTCGAGAAATCTGGCATGTTGAAGCTGCCTTTCACCCGCCAAGAAAATACTGTCATTCAAACCTGCGTAGTTGCCTCCTCTGGCATCGCCTTTAGCGGTCAGTAAATATGCTCTTAATTCTTCTTCTTCTTCCCCTCTCACACACACACTTTTTCCATAAAGAAAACTCAACCTGATCTTGTACAGGAGGCTTTGGAACTTATCTATTTGGAATGAGCGAACGTGTTGCCAAACAATCAGGAGAAGCCAAATATGGATTGGACTACAAGAACCCAGCAATAGGCTGGATGATAAGCTTTCTTTTCGTGGTTAGCTTTCTGGGACTTTTTTCCGTGTTGCCTCTCCGAAAGGTATTCCTTATCCTTTGCTAAGACAAATTTGAGTTTGGTGAAAGAAGAAAACTACTGAATGAGCCATATTACGCAAAATCTTATGATTAAGCTCCACAGAAATTAACAAATATCTAATGGATCGTGATGATGTATCACACTTTTTTGTGTGTAGACAATGATAATAGACTTCAAGTTGACCTATCCTAGTGGTACTGCTACTGCACATCTTATTAA